TCTCAAATTTCATTGTCTTTCTAAGTTGACATCTTCCTCTATGTCAGGGGTGTGAAACTCAATCACAGACAGGGACAAAATTAAAAACTGGGACTACGAGGGCCAAACAGGGTCAACATTTATTAAACAGGATAGACGGGATATTGGACAACGTGCAAAAAGAAAACATATTTAGGTAGGCTACATTTTTCTTTTATTTACATGTGCCAGAGCCAGATGTTTGGCATCTTTTCTTGGCTGCCAGTTCATTAATGTTTGGCGTTAGGTTCTGTGCTGTGGAAACCCTCAAGATGGAGTGAAGGTGCATCACTGAGACGACTCCTGTGTGGGTTTTCGTTCATCTTCATCACAGAGAAAAGCGTGTGGGCGAACTTGGCGGGGCACAGACAGCAGCACACAGGCACTGGGATGTCTGGAACACTGGAAAAATAATTTACTAACACCAAATACTCGGCGGGGGAGGAGGGGCGCTCATTCCGCATGCGTCTAGCCGGGCATTCCGGCACTCTGGCTCGACTTATGGAGCTTTTTTTTCACACACAAAAGTTGGGCATCCTCACATATGATATTTTATCGCGGGCTGGATATAATTGCACCACGGGCCGGAAGTGAGTTTGACATGTCTGCTCTATGTCTTTTTATGTGTATGGTACCTCTGTCTTCTTAAAATATGTATATTCTTCCAGTTTTGCATCAGTCCCGTGCTGTCATGTGTCATCAACACGCCCACTTACTTACTGTGACATTTTCCCAGTGTATTCTCTCAGTGGGACGTTTTATTAGATGGACTTGCCAGCCCCTCTATAAACCTCTATACATTTTTGGGAAAAAATTATAGTGACTATAGTGAATTGCTGTTGTTTTATCTTCTCCATAACTAATACGTGTCCTATTAGCTTAACCAGAACTCTGTGGTCGTGTGAAACAACTTTTACATGTTTGTTGAACAGGTGGTTTGATGAAGTGCTTCATTGGCCTTTTCTTTTTATTGCACCGACAGTAACGAGCGTGGCTTTCGTCAACTTATGTTGTAATTGCCTGGTTCGCTGTGTCCACTGCAGTGTCTCCACTCGTTCATTCTGTGTGTGTGTGTGTGTGTGTGTGTGTGTGTGTGTGTGTGTGTGTGTGTGTGTGTATCCCTCACTATCCTTGTTTAAATTATTGTTGTTGTGACTGTCATGGGTTAAGTGGGTTTGTTCAGGCAAATAAGTGACAAATGTTTGACATGTTTGTGATTGTTATAACAGGCGTGTCTTGACTCCACTTTCTCAAACAGCCTTTTATTTCTAGAGGTAGAAATCCAGGTATGATCAGCAGCAGGTTGTGGGGGTCGGGTGTAGTCTCTCTGGCTCTGAAAATGTTCCCACTGTCATGAGAGTTTTACCCTGACGACAGGGCTGTCAGGTCTAAGGTTGGCAGTCTCTGTTGGTTGTTTCCTTGGCTCAGACCCCTTCAGTCCATTTGGCATGCACACTAAAGATGGATACTTCTAGATTGTTGTTTATGCTGTTCCTTATTTCTTAAAAGTAACTCCAGTCAACAAAGCAAACTGATCACAGATAATAGGAACGTCTCTGCGAGATTTCTTTTTCGATGTAAGATGTTTAAACAACAGAGACTCTGCTTGCTCACTCATTCTTGCCCTGATTTTCTTTTTTTCATTTTCTTCTTTTCCCCATTTGTCAACTTGTCTCTCATTTCTTTCACCACAAATTGCTCTGTCTTGTTTATTCTGTCTCACACATTAACACGTTTTAGATGCTTCGCACTTCAAGCTGTGTGCGAGTATGGTTTCATATGCAGAAGGTGCCCAGGCAGGAATGATATACAATAACCAGCCAGCATCTGCCATATTCAACTATGCACCTTATTATAAGTCGGGGTTATTTTTCTGCACTTGTTTACATCTGTTGAGAATTAGTTTTCCCTGTTTTCTGAATCGACAATCTTTTCGATTTCTTCCTCTCAACCAGATGAAGTAATTTTATTGTTGTCACTTTAATCAATTTTAGGATATTTTTGGAGCATTTTTTTTAAATTGCCAGGGGAAAATAAAATTGATGTCCTATGTGAAAATCATAATTTCTTTAAACAGAGGGAAACATTGTAAATCTCTTCTTAAATACATAAGTCAGTTTGAGTTTGCATGTGAGATCAGAGCAAATTAGTACTCTGATATACATTGTCAGAAGTTATCTAGATATTCCTTTTAAGCCTACAGTATATTTAATAATTGATTTTTTTTATGCACTGAGTAAAAGGAGCAGCTCTTTTATGTACGTGCAACATCACATTGCTTAATATCCCTGTTATTTCACACTGTGGTACAGCTTGTATTGATTACATGATGAACTTTTATTATCTTCCTCAGCTATTCTTTCGTCCTACATCCTATGTTTACTGATTTAAATCAAACATTTACCCAAGGACTCATCCACCTCAAGTTAAAGTTCTTGTGTTTACACCATATTTAATTTTTGAAAAGTTTGGTTTTCTTAATAAAATCAAAAAGTGTAGGAGCTAGCAGTTCTCTGAGGTTATTATGGCATGATGAGCTAAAGGCTAACATGTAAGGGAGTCCTGCATGCATAGGTCATAACCGCTGCTTGTGTAACAGCACCAAAAACTGTCAATGGAACCTTTATCACATGTTGATTCAGACAAATCCATGTCCAGAGCTCCACAAAATTTGATGGAATTGAGTTTCGTAGTTTGTGAGTAATCCATGAGCAGACCAACAGTCAATGGTACTGAAAATGTAACCTCCTTGGCAAAAATAATGACATCTTTGGTGAAATTTTTCTGTGTATGTTGAATTTTTAAGTTTGGCTACACTTTTGCTAACCTCTTTAAACAGATTCTGCATCTTTATGTGCAGGATCTGTAGGGGAGGGACAACTTTGTGGATGTTAGCCTTCTCGCTGTTTATAACAAAAGCCCCAAAATATTGTCCGTTTCCCCCAGTAGCTAATTTGTAGTTAGACAACAGCCGACGGGCCCCTGGATCGCAACTTGGCTAACCTAAAGGAAGCAGGCTTTGTGACCTACACTGCAGCCACCCACCAGGGGGCAATCTACATGTATTGGCTTTACTTTTTGAATCTGTCGTGTCATCTATCCTTATATAGTCTATGGGTGTGATGTCAGTTAAATACAACTTCTTTATCAAATGGCTGTTTGTTTTGCTGGAGCCCTCAATATGGCGCCACCACTATGCCAGTCTAAAAGGTCATTTGAAATATACTGGGGGACTGTTTGTTTCATGAAGTGATAATGCTACTTTAAAGCAGGTACACGTGAAAACAGATAACACTCAATAGTACAATAATACAAAAAGACTAAATGAATGACTGACACTCTCAGGCGTCCCAAAAGAGAGACAGACCAAACAAGGATAAGCATAGAAGCCTCAGCCATCCTCTGTGTGCATGTGCTCCTTTGAATGTGCCTTGATGTGGGTGTGGTGTGGTGTGTTGTGTATAAAGTCACGCCTGGCTGGCTATTATCTACCATAGACTCCGAGGTCCCTGGAGGGACACCAGAGGAGTCATCTGATTCACTTGCAGTTTCTTCTCCGACTACAAATTAAAACAGGGCCGACACGGAGAGAGACACAGATAGGAAGGAGAGCTGTGTTTTTTTAATTAAATCCATTCTGTTTCTGCTTAATCCCTGCCAAACAGATACTTGTCTGACATAAAATGAACACATGAACAGTTTCAGTTCCTCTTCCCACCTGCATTAACATGCACCAGCTGCAGCTTTTCAGCTCACAGGGCATGTATCTCTCACATCAGAACCAGGAGCCCCCTCGCTCTCCGTCTCTCCTCGGTTAAAGTCTGTTTATGAAACACAGACGATCGGCTCTGATTTGATTTGGCGTTCAGCAGCCCTGATAATTATGATGAATCTTCCTCCCTCTGTTTGTGGTTGTGTGTGTAGACTCTCTTCACCTCAGCTTTTTCTTTACTGATGCTGCTTTCAGTGCCACAGTGCTGTTATTCAGATCTGGGGACAAGTGAGTGCTTCGAAAGTATTGATTGGCATTAATTTGCCGGGTGTAACAGATGCATGCGATCTAGTACATTAGTTTAGTTCAGTCACTGTCTGACAGCCTGTCAATCACAGAGATACGTTACAGTTATTATTCAAACTTTCTCCATGTCAGGTTTCCAGTGTGTCAATATACCCATCTGGTGCCAAAATTAACTCTATGAACCAGATTCTGTTTGCTCAAAGTTACATGAAGTTTGCCTCATGGTTATACTTTAGTTTATAACCTAGGGAATGATGTGACAGTGCTAATATGCTGCAGGCTAACTGTCGTTCTGTTTCACAAGGCACAACTTCATTGCATAAAGGAAGTGTAAATTATAATTATTAAAATAGCATGTGTGATATATCAGAAAATATTATTTCATTAAAGCCAATTTGATGTTTTACCCACTTTATTTCTGAGGCACATACATAACCTAATTTTTTTCTGAGGTTGAGAGTTGAGAGTTTGAGCTTCTTGCTTCAGAAAGAAGGTTTTCTGGGGTTGAATAATAATGTAAGTGGCACCATGGTGCATTGATCAGTGCTGTCACCTCACAGCGAGAAGGTTCGAATCGCAGTTCAGCCGGGGTCTTTCTGTTTTTGCATGTTCACCTTGTGTTCTCTGTGGGTACGCCATCTTCCTTCAACAGTCCAAAGACATGCACTTTGGTCTGATATGCTGGCAACAACCAGGGTGTAACCCGCCCCTTGCCCGATGCCAGCTCCACCCACAATCCTCAAGGGATAAGATAGATAATGGATGGATCGATATGAGAACCTAATATTTTGACTAATTTCAAGTATTTTAGTTTTTTGTTTGCGTAACACTGTGTTATATTGAAGCTGTATCTCAGTTTGTGCTTCATGCTCCCTCTTTCTTTATCTTTCCTTCCTAACTCTGCTTTGTTTATCTGCCCCCGCTGCTCTTTCTCTTTTTACTTTCCATTTCCCAACCTCTCTAGTCAACAGATGAGATAGAGGTGATGGTAAGTTTCGCCACTATTTACAAATTTCTTCTCTCCACTCCATTTCTGCTGCGTTCAAACCATTGCAGTTTTTTTATTTCCCCATTGTCTCTTTGCACTGGCTAAGAATCACTTTAAAGAAGTGGAATTCATTTTCAATTATTTCTAGTAAACTGGAGCCCTTGACTGTTGAAGAGGTAAAAAGACTCAAAATTTTAGTTTTTGGAGACTTGACTAAATAGAAATCATATTGAACACCTCCATCCTCCCTAAAAAATGTGAACATCATGCATGTCTTGAGTGCTAATATCCTCTACACCAGCAATCCAGTTACTAATTTACTACTTCATTAATTGAGGTTATTTAATAAAATGCTAACTAAATGAAAACTGACTCTTTAATAAAGTCAAGAGGTTTCATTTAAAATAAAGTTCCACTTTCTATCTTACGTTTTACATGATCCCACTTTGACTTTTATCTTGATCGAAAATTGTCTGGATATTTTCCAGAGTTTGCAACAGCAACAAAAAAATGTTTGGAGCAAGGAGTGGGGTCTGTGTAGATCATGCCTGAGGTAGGACATTACATATAAATTCCACTGTAAAAAGTACAGTTTTAGCACTGCATCAACTTTTCAAGGTGTTGGCTTTTATCACCAACAGGTCTTGGATGTCTTCGTCTTTCCAATTTGACATCTTCATTGGCAACTCCTACGTGTTAACGCCTCTTTTTATTCATCAGATATTTGTACTCTTCCAGTTTTGCATCCGTCACATATTTGAAACATCAACACATGTACCCGCTCGCTCGCTCGTACATTTTCTGGACATTTTCCTGCTCTTTTCTCACACGGGCTCATGCAGACATTCTGACATTCTACGCTGGCGCAGGCAAGAAAAGTTCTGAAAACGTTTTCTGAAAGCAGCTTGTCTTTTCTTTCCAAACCTTGTTTTGCTTTCTCTGTTTCACTTCACTCACTGTTGTGTATCCCCCTCCTGTTTTTATTTCCTCCTGTCGCTCTGTCAGTGGTTTTTTTATTTTGTGGGTTTGCATGTGTATTCATGAGCCTGTTTGTGCATGGGAATGTTTTTGTGAACATACGAGTATGTATTCCATCTTCGGTGCTTTTGAACTACCTGAAAATAATCAGATGTGTAGTGTGCTGGGGTTCTGGCGTGATTTTTCTGTGCTGGCGCAAGCAGGGACACAATGGATAAGTTGAGATCGATGAATGAATGGGTGGGTGGATAGAGAGGCAGGTGAAAATTGAAGATTTTTAAAGAGCTGTTATTTGAGGCTTGGGGCTTTTCATGGAATTTTATTATATCTTTCACATCGTAGGCCTTTCAAGACAATATGGTCAAATATATACAGAGAGAGGGTGTATGTCCCAATGTGTGTTGGCCCACATGCTTGGATGTCTTTGGGTAGCTTACTAGCATGTACAAGAATGTAATTGCAGCATCAGTGCTTAAAAAATGCTTTCGTTGGGTTGCATGAATATTCAGTATTTTGGACTTTAACACTGGTGTGTGATAACTGTGTGTTTCCTTCTGTATGTAGGAAATTACATATTAACATTGATAAGCAGAAGTGATCTTAAATTTATACTCACTATGTATGATATCAATTTAACATAGACACATATAAATTATTTCGTTCTTGTCTTTTGGTTGACCTTGGTTCTGGCTCTGGTAGTAAAGTAAATTGATTTTTTCCATTAACAATATAACATCACTATAAGTTGGAGTACAACTTAGAACAGAGTTGAATTTTGTGGTTCTGGAAGTAAAAATCTTGCATTTTCATAATTATCAGCCATAATATTGTAACCATCCAATGCAGACTTGTGTTTTAAGAAACACATGTTTTAATTGCGATGTCAAAGACAAGTACTTCACTACCCACAATCTTCAGGTGTAGTCGGGGTGTCTCTGAATGGTGAAGCTCACGGTTACCATGGATTAATAATTCGATGGTTCAGTTTTACTAAACTAGGTTACTGTGCTGTACGTCATATGAAACTATAAACTATACTAAACATCTAATATATAAACCACAACTCTATAGTATGACTATATTTACAACAAGGTTGCATAGCATAGCATAACATAATATTCTTATTATAACATACATAGTCTTATTATATCATCTGTCAGAGTCCCGTGTTTCTATTTGAAGGTTTGTATAAGAACTACTTTCCAATAAACTTGAAAATTTACAGAATAAACATGTTACCCCTGTGTGTGTGTGTGTGTGTGTGTGTGTGTGTCATCTTGCAGACTCTGCAGCTACAGAAGAAAGATGCACAGCTCACAGCGCTGGATGCCTTCTACAAGGAACAGCTGGCACAACTGGAGAAGAGGGTACAACATTTACACAAACACATGCACACAAACACTTGGAAAGACTTCATTAGATGCTTTCACAGACTCCCAGAGAAGACAAAGCTGTAGATGCTGACACGTATACTGTATGTATATAAATATATTAAACATCTCATACACTGATGTACAATCACAAAAAAATAGACACACACACATGCAATAACTCTCCTCAAGATCTGTGACGGAGAGGAAACATCTATAGATGATCTGTGTTGTAAGTCTGCTGAAACACACAGGTGGAAGATGCACTATTAAAGTACAATTACAAGATTAAGATGGTGTTTGACTCTAACAGAAACCCTTTCAGATGGGACATGATACTAGTATCTTTGGTATTAAAGTAATATTACCCTGGCCGCTGTATGTGCCATGTTTAAACGCAGTGCTAATACAGTGGGTGCACTGTGTTTGTACTGAAGCACAAGTCTAAAGTAAATTAAAACAAGCTGCAACAGAGTAAGACAGCAACTGCAGTCTGGACAAAATCTGTCGAAAAAGCTGAGAATTTGATCCAGGCTGAGCATCTCCTGAGAGCCCTTAGAAGCCCTTTCATTCTCTTTCATCCACCTGTCTGACATTTACAAGGCAGAAAGGTGTGGAAGCTGTTCGTCTCGAGTTAGGTCTCAGCCTCACCAGGCGCCACACAAGAAGGACCTTTACACAGGCTCTCTGGGGAGAAGCACTCCTCTGGTTCTCCTATGGAGAAGACCTTTACTGGACATTATGTGTCAAATCGCAGTATTATGTTCTGTTTACCATTGCCTAATTCAAGCCTGTCCCAGGGGTGGAGGGAGTGTTGGCATCAGAGGGCATCACATGGGGCAACTGTGACATTAGAGTGTCATTACTACAGTTACAGTTGCCCCCTGTGGACCATCAACTTACAGCTGATGTCATACTCAGTCACTGTTATTTCTTCATGTTTTGAAAAAACACCTGTTTTTCTGGATCAGGACAGAAATCTTTACTCAAAGTTTGCTGGTTAATGTACATTGTTTATTTTGATCAATATATCTATTGATATACACAAATAAATGATTGAATGTGAAAATAATACAGAACTTTCCCACATCTCTTTAACTTCAATTCTTTCTTTTATTAAACAAAATGTGTGTTTAACTGGCTGTAGGCTACTGGTTTTCATTTTTATGTTTTGCATGTAAGTAAATTGCGGACCATAAAAAGGAGGAGGAGTTGGCATCACATCAGAGATCCTTAAGGTTGATATAGGTTTGAATACACTTCCAGTTGACTCACATATAAACACAGAGATGTGGAAACAAGGCGTGAATGACAGAAAATGTCCAACCAAGTTTGGGATTGGCTTTGATGGTTTAAATCTGTGTGTATATGCTCATGTGAGTAGAAGTTACGTTTAGTGAATCTGCCATAAGCCACAATAAACGGATAGAGTCACTGACTCGAGCAACAGGCTTTTCTCTGTTCGGTTAAATCTGAAGTTTTGGCTTTTTGAAACTAGGCATGTCCAATCCTGTCCTGTTAGGCTCTGCTGAAGACTTTTTTCTTTCTCTCTCACTTTCTTTCTTTTGCTTTGTCTTTCTTTCTTTCTCCCTGTTCTGTAAGTATTATTTTCTTTCTGTCGATGTCTAACTTAAATAATAGTCAAACACCCACTGGCTTACATCACAATAGCACAAAATCTGTATTCTAATTACCACACAGTCAGCCCATTTATTACCCTGGTAAATTGTCTCTACACACATTTTAAACACACACACACACACACACACACAGGTCTTGGTGTCAGCTGCCCGGCTATTTGTGTTGGTCTCATTAGTAACAGGTTGGGTTTGCAGAGGGAGCAGTAGACTGGCAGGCTGGCATACGAGTGGCACAAGCTGTATTTGCTGCTGAGCTTAGGATGTTTGTTTACAGAGCACAGTGTGTGTGTGTGTGTGTGTGTGTGTGTGTGTGTGTGTGT